TTGAACAATGAGAACACATGAACACAGGGAGGGGAACATCACACACTGGGGTCTGTTGCGGGGGCCAAGGGAGGGACAGCGGGGGAAAATGGGGAGGTTGGGGAGAGATAACATGGGGGAGAAATGCCAGATGTGGGTACAGGGGGATGGAGGCAGCGAACCACATCCCCATGTGTGTACCTATGCAACAATCCTGCATGATCTGCAAATGTAACCCAGAACCTAAAGTACAATTAAAAAAAAACAAAAAGATTTGCAAGGAATCAAAAAGCATTTAAATATCCACATGAAGGTATTTATCAGCGAGACTGATACCGCAAAGAAAAGAAAATCAAATCAGTGATACTAAGAATACATTGGAGAAGTCCTCCAAGAATGTAGAGGAAAAGGATAACAGAATGAAAGTGATGACGACGAGAGCGCTGTGAAACCCAATTTTAAAACTCCAAGATTAATACAATAAAATTTTCACAGTAGAACAACAAACTAATGAAAAACACAACAACAGAGAGAACATTTTTTTCTTGACCTTTAAAAAAAATCATGTTCCATAAAAAGAAATCCTCACGTAGACATATCCTGGCAGAATACGTATTGAAATGCTGGAAAACTTTAAACCATTCCCGGATCTGAGAAAAGTACTTAGAAATGAATGAAAATCAGGCTGACCCTGGCTTTTCCTCTGTGCTAGAAAATTCAGGGAAACACTAGAATACCATCTACATAGTTGAGGGGAAGGGTTAGAAACCCAAGTAACCAGAGATTTTGGAAACACACTTGCGTAGCCTGACATCTGTGAAAATAACATACTTGGCTGTTTTTGCTTTGAGAGTACATATCACCAATAAGCAGCTTAAGAAAAATATTACTTTAGTTCAACCATTATGGAAGACAGTGTGACAATTCATCAAGGATCTAGAACCAGAAATACCATTTGACTGGGGTGACTGTGGTGAGGAAGCAGCAGGGGCAAAGGCCCTGGGGTGGGTGTGGTGAGGAGGCAGCAGGGGCAAAGGCCCTGGGGTGAGAAGGCAGCTGGGGCAAAGGCCCTGGGTGATTGTGGTGAGGGGGTAGCTGGGGCAAAGGCCCTGGGGTGGGTTTCGCCAGGAGGCAGCTGGTAGATGTCATCAGCCTGGTGTTCACAGGCATGGCCCAGTTCCCCTAGTCCACTCCCCCCAGGGGCGTCAAAGGTCTCAGCCTTGTACGAGAGATTTCCCAACTTTCCAAACTTGTCAGCCCTCGAGGTTTGTCTTCCTGGGTGAGTTTCTCCTGTGCCTGAGAGGTGGCCCAGGGCCACGTGACAGGGGGAGAAACTAGCCCAGCAGGCCTGGGTTTGCCTACCACTCTTGCCTCTCACTTGCTGTGTGACCTGAGGCAAGTTACCAGACCTCTCTGAATATGTTTTCCTAGCAGAGCTTTTGATACATGCCTGGTGTGGGGTGTGCGGTCAGGAAATGCTGTGTCCCCGCCACTTTTCAATGTTTCCTCTTCTCAGCTGACATTTAAAACAGTTCCCACAGGCTGGGCGCAGAGGCTCACGCCTGTAATCCCAGTACTTTGGGAGGCCAAGCAGTAAGTGCCCCACGGGCAACAGATGTGCTGCCTGGGAAGCAATGCTGGAGGCTGTGCCCACTTGGGCAGATGGTCAAAATGAGGCGGGCACCAGTTTAGCCCAGCCACAGACAAAGATGCTGAGGCTCTGTGCCTCTGTGTCTACCTGGCACAAGATATGGAGCCAGGGCTGAGTGGGCCTCTGTGCTCTGGGCTGACCAAGGATGAGACTGGGGCATGCTGGAGAGAGCTGACTCCCGACAACCCGGGCTTTGTGTGAAGCAGGTAAGGGAGCCCCCCACCACTTATCTCCCCATGCCAGTGGTGCAGTGCCCAGAGCCTGCAATCCTCACTCTGGGTGTGGGCCAAGAAAGAACGGACCCTTTGGCTGGTGCACTAGGCGACCTTCAGGCTATCTGGGACCAGCTCTGACAGCCGCTGCTCTGGGATCAGCTGCCGCAGCAACCTACACACGCCGTGGGGCAGCAGCGGTGGCATCCCTGGACATTGACCTCAGTAGCATGGAACCCAGGACCAGATACTGCCACAGTCAGCCCGCAGGTGCGGGAGGGCAGGAGGCGCTGAGTCACAACTCTGTGGCTGCACTGTGCCCAGCACCTGCAAACCTGTGCTCTGGGCCAGGCCTAAGGAAAAGTGGACCCTAGGGTGGGATGGCGGTACACTCCCCGACCCCCACGCCCTCGGGGAGCAGCCCCGTAAGAATCTGCCATGGGCTCAGCCACAGCTGCAACCTGGAAATGGCGCAAGTCAGTATCAGTGGCAACCCCTGGCCCTGTCCTCCCCCACCAGCAGCAGGAATCCCAGGGCCAGATGTCACCATGGTGCCTAATTTAGGTGGTCGATGGCGCAGCTACAGGGTGATGGAAACTGGCGCTCAGACTCATCCTGGGTGCTGCAGTGGGCCTAGAGCCTGCAACCCCACACTCTGGGCTTGGGCCAAGAAAGCACGGATCTTAGCGTGGGGGGAGGTGCCCTGGGCGACTCCCAAGCTGAGACCAGCCCTGCAGCCTCCCGTACATTCTGCTGCACCTGCCACTTAAGAGATGGCATCCGGCAGCGTGGTGGCAACCCCTGATCCCGCCCGCTTCCTCCAGCAACGCGGACCTAAGGGCCAGACCCTGCTGTAGCGCCTAAATCAGGCCCCGCAGCAGGAGGAGGACTGGTACCGGCGCCCAGCCCCATCCCAGTGGCTGTAGGGTAACCAGCACCTGCAACCAGCACCCTGGACCAGGGACAAAAAGGAACAGAACGGAAACCAGCACTGCCACCCTACAGCTCAACTGTAGCTGCCACCTGCACACGGCGCAGCAGAAGCAGTGGCAACCCCAGCTCTGCCTGCCATAAACAGCGGGGGGGGGGGGGGGACCCAGGGACCAAGGCCGCCTCAGAGGCTGCCACCTGGCCAGCTCTGCACCCGTCCCTGTCCTGGTGGCAGCCAGCCACACTCCCACCTCTCCGGTGCTCTGCAGTCTCCGTCGCTGCCACCCACTGCAGCGAGGCGAGCCGTGGTGCCACAGGCTCCAGCCTCCAGCACGCAGCAGATAGCTCTTCCTTCTCCTGGCATGGAGCAGCTGGGTGGGCAAAGCCAGAAAAGCCTAGAACGGGACACAAGAGAATGGTAGCATTAGACCCCCACCTTGTCATGCTGGCTACTGGGTGGCATGGGCCAGTTTCAGTGAAGGCACTCGCACCCACCCTCCAAAGGTCACAGCATCTCTTTTTGGCCCAAACTGGCTAGGGAGTAGAGACTGGAGACACCATGGTGCCTGGGCTTCCTGCTCCACAGGAACCACGGGGGCCACCCAGGCTGTGCTCGGGAAGCAGGAGCAGCAGAAACTCAACCCCAGCCAGCCCTCCCCACCCATGTGCTGGTTCCCATTCCTGAGACCTCCACCCACAGGGCCCTGTCACCCCATGGTGTCTGCTACAGAAATGTGTGCCCGCCATGCAGCAGCAGATGGCCCTTTAAAGAGTTTAGAGTCCGGGGAGAGGAGGACCACTCCTCTCTCAGAGACCACCGCTGTCTCTGAAACCTCCGTCACCTGCCACCAGCAGTGCAGCCTCCGACAGAGCCCCTAACCCGCTGCCACCGGCAGTGTAGCCCAAGGATAGCGCCAACACCCCATCCCCCACCACCGGCAGGGCAGCCCCAGGATAGTGCCAATACCCCATGCCCCACCACCGGCAGTGTAGCATGTCATGGCAGCCCCTAACCTGCCCCTGCCTTAGACACTGCAGCACTCGATGGCACCCACAAGCCACCCCCCTACCATGGGCACCACAGCCCGGGATAGCACCCCAACAAGCTCCCTGGGGTGGGCAGTGGAGCCACAGATAGCGTCCCCAAGCAGACCCCCACCACAGGCAGTGATGCCCCCATATGGCACCCGAACCACCCCCCACTGTGGGCGCTGCAACCCTGAATAGTGAGTGCCCTAACTCACTCCCCGTCGGGAACAGTGCGGCCCTGGATAGCGCCTCCAACCAACTCCCTGCCTTGGGCAGGGCAGCCACCGATAGCACTCCAAACTCCCTCTCCACCTTGGGAAGTACCCCCATGGCTAGCTCTGGTAGCCCCTGATAGCGCACCCAACCCGCCCTTGCCACAACCCACACAGCCCGGAATAGCACACTCACCCGCTCTTTACCAGGCAGCGCAGATCCCTGAGAGCACCTGACCCACCCGACCCCTCCCCACCACTCAGGCTGTGTATTGGGCCCCAAGAGTGCCCCCACCAACCCTCTACCCCACTCCACAGGCAGTCCAACCCTGTGTAGCTCTCCTGACAAGCCCCCCAACCTCTGTCTCAGTGTAGTCCCCATGTCGCCTTTAACGCCACCCCTCCCCCCCAACAGCAGTCTAGCACCCCCTAAACCATCCTCCATAGCCAGCATTGTAGCCTCAGACAGTGCCCCCCAACCCACTCCCCATATGGGCGATGCAGCCTTGGATAGTGCCCCCAACCAGCTCCCAGACACAGGCAATGATGTCGTGGATCTCACACCAGCCCCCCGCCCCCGCCACTGGGGGCAACGTAACACCTGACAGCACCCCGAACCCATCCCTCGCCGCTGGCAGTGTTGCACCCCATAGTGCCACCAACCCATCCCAGACAAAGCAGGGAGCCGCGGAGAAGTAGGAGGGAGGTCTGGAGGATTCCCGGTGGGGTACTAGTCCCCGCCACTTACCGCAGAGACCTGTCTCGTCCTCCACCATCACGTTGAAGCCACCACGGCCTCTCCAAAGAAACTCACTCTCACCGCGCCGCCGAGGCCGGGCCAGGCTGGGGCTGCCGCCGCCGCCGCCCCCACCTCCGCTGACTTGGCTGCAGCCCGCCGCCTTCTCTCTGGCCCGGCCGGGTGGGCTTCCGTAGGGGCACGCACGCTGACAGGCACTCGCCTCAAGGCTGAAGCACCACACCCTCTTAAAGGGGCCGCAGCTCAGCCTGGCTAGAATAGCCTCGGGTTGGATGAGAACAAGTTTTAGGTTAGCCAATCAGACCATAGAAATAAAGCCCAATTAGAGTAGACCTTGAAGTTTGCTCTCATCCAATCCGAACATGTAGTCTAGGAACCCCGTCTATAAAGGATGGCAAGCGGGAGTCTTGCCATTTCAGACGTGGGCCCACCTGCTCTGAGCTGGCTTCGAGGAGAAGTGGGAGTAGCCGGCCACCGCCCATGCTGGAGGCTAGAGTCTGCCTTATCGGCTCGGCTCCCCTCGCTGTTGCGGTTGTTGGCACTGACGGGGACTACAGCGCAGCTAAAAGGGTAAGATGGCGGGATAGGTTCACCATCTTGGCCCGCACAGCCTTAGGCATGGGGGACGACTTGGGAGTGACCTGCCATGGGCAGTGGGCACTATCTAGGGTGTCACTGCTGGTGTTGCGGGGGCTGGTGGGGGGGGGGGGGTGTTCATTTGAGGCGCCACAGCCCGCGTAGGGGAGAGGGTTGGGGGCCCTTTCCTGGGGCGTGCTGCCCATTGCTGGGGGCTGGGATGGGGCCTGTCCCAAGCGGTACTGCCAGCAGCAGTGGGGCTCCTATTTGAGATCCTGCAATGGCTCCTCACTGCTCTCAGGATAAATCTGTACTTTTTATTCTGACCTACACAATCTGGTTCTGTCCAACTTTGTGTTGTGTCTCTGTGCTCCTTGCTCACTATACTCCATCCGCCCTAATATTCCAGCTTCTTAAACATGCTAAGTTCACTCCTATTGACAACTGAATGCAATGTGGGATCCTGGATTAGATCTTAGCCCAGAATAGGTCTTCAGTGGAAGAACTGGCAAAATTTGAATAAGGTCTCTGGTTTCGTGAATGGTAGCGTATTGATGTTCATTTCCTGCTTTTGATCATTGGAGTGATAGTGAGACATTAACATTTGGGAAAACACAATAAAGGTTATATGGACATCTCTACTATTTTTGTAACTTTTGTAAGTTAAAATTGTTTCAAAATGAGTTAAAAAATTAAAAGGAAGTTTTCTGTTTCAGCTGGGAAAATGGCAATGAATTAATGACAAGAAATTAACGGTGAAGTGATGACTAAAATTCTACATTGCTCCGAAAGCAAGTAAGAAAATCAGTGGTTATAGAGAAGTTCTTACATGAAGTAATAAAAATAAAAATTATTATCTTTTCCTCTTCTCCAAATGAAACAACATACTGTTCTGCATTTTATTCTACCTAACAATATATCTTTTGAATGACTCTTGTATTTTAAACCTAAAATTTGTTTAAGCCTTGCTTAATATTTAAAAAGATAGTATAGGTCACAATGATATTTGATGCAAACCTTGGAAAGACAGAATCTTATTGATCCAAGAGCTTTTAGAATTCAAAGTACTATTCTGGTTGTTATTCTACTCATTTAAGATAGGGAAATGAACATTTACATTCTGGCGACCTCAGAAGTGCAATGAACAAAGGGCACCAGCCAGGTAGGGCAAAGGTCTGTGTGCGCCCTGTTGCTTTTACATATTTATCAGAGGCATGCTCTGTTATATTACATTATTTTTCTCTTCAGTGTTTACTGAGGAAAAACAAGTATCTCCTCGGGCAAGTCAACTGTTAACTTTGCAGTTTTTATTTAATCTCCCTGGAATGTAACCCTTAACTTTAAAGAATGTAATGGCCATAAAACTTATAAAGCGTGTTTCTTAAGGAAATCATTCATACCTGTTTGTTTAATCTACCAGATATGAATGCGATAAAAAATTGAATTTATCCACTTAAGCTGTAGATGAACTTTCCACCTTTCTGATCAGAAATAGACCATCTTATAGTACAGATTCTGTTATTAATCAGAATATTTCATTTAGACTTTTTCCATTAAACTTTTTCTTAGAGGCTATTCAAAATAAAGGTGCTTCTAGCAGTTTCGTATCTAAATATGATGCAAAGCCTTGCTCTTCCATGGTATCCCTTGAATGAGCCAAACTTATTTAGCCATTCCCCTATAATTAAATAGCTAGGATGTTTCTAACATCTCAACTTAAAAACAATATTGCGATGAATGTCGTGTCTGTATATGTAAATATGTAGGATAAATACCTATCAGTAGAACTTCAAAAGGTATATGCAATTAATATTTTCATGTGTATTTAAATTTTTCCATCCATACAAAGGTTGCTAATGTATCTTATTTATTTAAAATTTAAAACATAATTTTATATGCCTCTTTTAACCAGTAATCTGATACAAAGATTTTTTTAAAATAACGTTGCTCCTCTTCCCCCATTGTCTCTGTCATCTATAGTACTCCCTGAGGTAGTTCATGTTATTGAAAGGGTGTGTTTCATCCCAAACATATTGCTTCCGCATACATATATCAGCATACATTATATATATATATGTATGTGTATATATATATATATATATATATACACACACACACACACACAGGTATACACACACATATGTATAGCATACATATATATGAGCACATATTAATATATCCCCATGCACATACAAGCATGATTTTAATTTTTACTGAAATGGATTCATACTCCATACTTATAAACAAATTGCTTATTTCATTTCATACCACTTATAATTGTCATTCTACAAATCAGTACATATAAAATTCATATTTACACATACTCTATCTTTCTGTTACAATTTTCTGCGTGAGCCACCGCGCCCGGGTTTTTTTTGTTTGTTTGTTTTTTGTTTTTTTGAGATGGAGTTTCGCTCTTGTTTACCCAAGCTGAAGTGCAATGGCGCGACCGCAACCTCCGCCTCCTGGGTTTAGGCAATTCTCCTGCCTCAGCCTCCTGAGCAGCTGGGATTACAGGCACTTGTCAGTATGCCCAGCTAATTCTTTGTATTTTTAGTAGAAACGGGGTTTCACCATGTTGACCAGGATAGTCTAGATCTCTTAACCTCGTGATCCACCCGCCTCAGCCTCCCAACATGCTGGGATTACAGGCGTGAACCACCGCGCCCCGCTTTTTTTCAGAGACCGAGTTTCACTCTTGTTTACCCAGGCGGGAGTGCAATGGCGGCGGGATCTCGGCTCACCGCAACCTCCGCCTCCTGGGTTCAGGCAATTCTCCTGCCTCAGCATCCTGAGCAGCTGGGAGTACAGGCACGCGCCACTATGCCCACATAATTTTTTGTATTTTTAGTAGAGACGGGGTTTCACCATGTTGACCAGGATGGTCTCGATCCCTTGACCTCGTGACCCGCCTGCCTCAGCCTCCCAAAGTGCTGGGATTACAGGCATGAGCCGCCACGCCCGGCTGGTCTTTGGTTCTCTAATCCATAAAATGAGAAAAGGAGCGAGAGTGGGAGGAGGGGTAGAATCAACAAAATTTATGAATGTATACTCTGCTTAATACCTAGGTGATTAAGCAATCTGTACAACAGGGCCCTGTGACACTCATTTACCTATGTAACAAACCAGCACATCCTGCACGTGTACCCCGGAATTTAAAATAAAAGTTCAGGACTGGGTGCAGTGGTTTACGCCTGTAATCTCAGTACTTTGGAAGCCAAGACGAGCGGATCACTTGAGGTCAGCAGTTCAAGATCAGCCTGGCCAACATGGTGAAACCCTGGCTCACCTAAAAATACAAAGACAATTGGCGGATTGTAGGGGTGCACATCTGTGATCCCAGCTACTCAGGAGGCTGTGGCAGGAAAACCCCTTGAGCCAGGTGGAGGTTGCAGTGAGCCGGGATTGTGCCACTGCTCTCCAACCTGGGAGACAAACAGACTTTGTCTCAAAAATAAGTAAATAAATAAACGTTAAATACTAAAATAAAATAAAATTAGAAAAATGTCTCTCCAAAGAATTATTGTTTTACTTTATTTTGTTTTTTTGAGATGGAGTCTTGCTCGGTCCCCAGGCTGGAGTGCAGTGGTACGATCTTGGCTCACTGCAACCTCTACCTCCTGGGTTCAAGCGATTTTCCAGCCTCAGCCTCCTGAATAGCTGGGACTATAGGCATGCTCCACCATGCCCGGCTAATTTTGGTACTTTTAGTAGAGATAGGGTTTCACCATGTTGGCCAGGAACGTCTCAATCTCTTAATCTTGTGATCCACCCGCCTTGGCCTCCCGAAGTGCTGGGATTACAGGCATGAGCCACTTTCACGGCCCAGAATTATTGTTATCAGAAACAATAATGGAGTCTCAGGAGTTTGAGACCAGCCTGGCCAAGATGTTGAAACCCATCTCTTCTAAAAATACAAAAATTAGCTGGGCACGGTGGCATGAGCCTGTGGTCCCAGCTACTCGGGAGGCTGAGGCAGAAGAATCGCTTGAACCCAGGAAGCAGAGGTTGCAGTGAGCTGAGATTGTGCCACTGCACTCCAGGCTGGCGACAGAGCAGGACTCAGTCTCAATTTTTTTAAAACAATCAAATTTTTTTAAAAAAAGGCCAGGTGCCGTGGCTCACGCCTGTAATCCTAGCACTTTGGGAGGCTGAGGCGGGCAGATCATGAGGTCAACAGATCGAGACCATCCTGGCTAACATAGCGAAATACTGTCTCTACTAAAAATACAAAAAAATTAGCTGAGTGTGGTGGCACGCGCCTGTAGTCCTAGCTACTTGGGAGGTTGATGCAGGAGAATCCCTTGAATCTGGGAAGAGGAGGTTGCAGTGAGCTGAGATCCCACCACTACACTCCAGCCTGGGTGACAGAGCAAGACTCCATCTCAAAAAATACAGACATGTTAAAATTAAAAGTTAAAAAAACAATTCAAAGGTTGGGTGTGGTGGCTCATGCCTGTAATCCTAGCACTTTGGGAGGCTGAGGTGGGTGGATCACCTGAGGTCAGGAGTTCAAGACCAGCCTGGCCATTGTGGAGAAACCCCATCTTTAAAAAATAATAATAAAAATAAATAAATAAAAATTCAAAAACCCAGCCGGGTATGGTGGTTCACGCCTGTAATCCCAGTGTTTCGGTGGAACAGAGTAAGGAGGATCCCTTGAGCCCAGGAGCTATGATTGTTCCACTGTAGCCTGAGTGACAGACCAAAATCTTGTCTCAAAAAAAAAAAAAAGTGCCGGGCGCAGTGGCTCACACCTGTAATCCTAGCACTTTGGGAGGCCGAGGCGGGTGGATCACGAGCTCAAGAGATCGAGACCATCCTGGTCAACATGGTGAAACCCTGTCTCTACTAAAAAAAAAAAAAAATTAGCTGGGCATGGTGGCGCCTGTGGTCCCAGCTACTCAGGAGGCTGAGGGAGGAGAATTGCCTGAACCCAGGAGGCGGAGGTTGCGGTGAGCCAAGATCCCGCCATTGCACTCCAGCCTGGATAATAAGAGTGAAATTCCGTCTCAAAAAATAATAATAATAAATAAAAATAAAATAAAACCCTAAGGAGGAGAACTTCAAACATAATGAAGCTTCTCCGCTCGGCGCGGTGGTGTGTGCCTGTAGTCCCAGCTAACTCGGGAGGCTGAGGTGGGAGGATCGCTTGAGCCCAGGAGTTCTGGGCTGTAGTGCACTATGCCGATCAGGTGTCCGCACCAAGTTTGGCATCAATATGGTGACCTCCCAGGAGCAGGGGAACACCAGGTTGCCTCAGGAGGGGTGAACCAACCCAGGTTGGAAACGGAGCAGGTCAAAATTCCCATGCTCATCAGTAGTGGGATTGCGCCTGTGAATAGCCACTGCACTCCAGCCTGGGCAACGTGGTGAAACCTTGTCTCTACTAAAAGTCCAAAACATTAGCTGGGCATGATGGCGCGTCCCTGTAATCCCAGCTACTCAGGAGCCTGAGGCAGGAGACTTGCCTGAACCCAGGAGGCGGAGGTTGCAGTGAGCCGAGATTGCGCCATTGCACGCCAGCTTGGGCAACAAGAGCGAAACTCCGTCTCAAAAAAAAAAAAAAAAAAAAAAAAGACGGCGGAAAAAGCCCAGGCGCAGTGGGTCCCGCCTGCAATCCCAGCACTTTGAGAGGCCAAGGCGGGCGGATCACGAGGTCAGGAATTCAAGACCAGCCTGGCCAGCATGGTGAAACCCCAGTCTCTACTGAAGATACAATAAATCAGCCGGGCCTGGTGGCTCGGGCCTGTAGTCCCAGCTACTTGGCAGGCTGAGGCGGGAGAATTGCTTGAACTCGAAGATAGAGGTTGCAGTGAGCAGATTGCACCATTGCACTTCAGCCTGGGTGACAGGGGAGACTCCATCTCAGAAATACAAAAAAAAAAAAACAAAAAATGGCGTTTTGCTTTTGTCGCCCAGGCTGGAGTGCAATGGTGACATCTCAGCTCACTGCAACCTCCGCCTCCCTGGTTCAAGTGATTCTCTTACCTCAGCCTTGGGAGTAGCTGGGATTACAGGCATGCACCACCATGCCCAGCTACTTTTTTGTATTTTTAGTAGAGACAGGGTTTCACCATGTTGACCAGGATGGTCTTGATCTCTTGACCTCCTGATCCACCCACCTCAGCCTCGGAAAGTGCTGGGATTACAGGCGTGAGCCACCGTGCCCGGCTTGTTTTTAAAGATTCTATAAACAGGCCAGGTGCAGTGGTTCACACCTGTAATCCCAGCACCTTGGGAGGCTGAGGAAGGTGGATCACCTGAGGTCAGGAGTTCGAAACCAGCCTGAACAACATGGTGAAACCCCGTCGCAACTAAAACTACGAAATTTAGCCAGGCATGATGGCAGACGCCTATAATCCCAGCTACTTGGGAGACTGAGGCAGGAGAATCACTTGAACCTGGGAAGTGGAGTTTTCAGTGAGCCAGGTTTGAACCACTGCACTCTAGCCTGGGCGACAGACCAACACTCTGTCTTAAAAAAAAAAAAAGAAAAGAAAAGAAAGAAAAAAGATTTTATAAGCAAAGCCACTGTAATTATGGACTGTGAGTCCCAATCAGAAAATCAAAATCAAGGCAATATAGCTAGGTAGTATAGAACTGGTTCTGGAGTCATAGACTTAAGACGAAAATCCTAACTTACGGTCTGTGGGGTCCGAGAGAAATTGTTTCGCTGGTCTTTAGTTTTTTATTTTTCTTTTCTTTTTTTTTTTTTTTTTTTGAGATGGAGTCTTGCTCTGTTGCCAGGCTGGAGTGCAGTGGCACAATTTCAGCACACTGCAACCTCCGCCTCCTGGGTTCAAGCAATTCTTCTGCCTCATCCTCCCGAGTAGCTGAGACCACAGCTTCGTGCCACCACGCCCGGCTAACTTTTGTATTTTTAATAGACATGGGGTTTCACCATGTTGGCCAGAATGGTCTCGATCTCTTGCTCTCGTGACCCGCCCGCCTCAGCCTCCCAAAGTCCTGGGATTACAGGCGTGAGCTACCGCGCCCGGTTTTTTGTTTTTTGTTTTTTGTTTTTTTTAGAGGCGGAGTTTACCCAGGCTGGAGTGCAATGGTGCGATCTCGGCTCACCGCAATCTCCGCCTCCTGGGTTCAGGCAATTCTCCTGTCTCAGCCTCCTGAGCAGCTGGGATTACAGGCACGCGCCACTATGCCCAGCTAATTTTTTGTATTTTTAGTAGAGACGGGGTTTCACCATGTTGACCAGGATGGTCTCCATCTCTGGACGTCGTTATCCACCCGCCTCGGCCTCCCAAAGTGCTGGGATTACAGGCGTGAGACACCGCGCCCGGCTTTTTTTTTTTTTTTTTTTTTTTTTTTTTTTTTTTCTGAGACGGAGTTTCGCTCTTGTTTACCCAGGCTGGAGTGCAATGGCGCCTGGGGGGGCCACCATTGACGTGGAGCACTCCCACGTCCGATTCCTGGGGAACCTGGTGCTGAACCTGTGGGACTGTGGCGGTCAGGACACCTTCATGGAAAATTACTTCACCAGCCAGCGAGACAACATCTTCCGTAACGTAGAGGTTTTGATTTACGTGTTTGACGTGGAGAGCCGTGAACTGGAGAAGGATATGCATTATTACCAGTCATGTCTGGAGGCCATTCTCCAGAACTCTCCTGACGCCAAAATCTTCTGCCTGGTGCACAAAATGGATCTGGTTAAGGAGGATCAGCGTAACCTGATTTTTAAAGAGCGAGAGGAAGAGCTGAGGCATCTGTCTCGCCCTCTGGAGTGTGCTTGTTTTCGAACGTCCATCTGGGATGAGACGCTCTACAAAGCCTGGTCCAGCATCGTCTACCAGCTGATTCCCAAAGTTCAGCAGCTGGAGATGAACCTCAGGAATTTTGCCCAAATCATCGAGGCCGATGAAGTTCTGCTGTTCGAAAGAGCTACGTTCTTGGTTATTTCCCACTACCAGTGCAAAGAGCAGCGCGACGTCCACCGGTTTGAGAAGATCAGCAACATCATCAAGCAGTTCAAGCTGAGCTGCAGTAAATTGGCCGCTTCCTTTCAGAGCATGGAAGTTAGGAATTCCAACTTCGCGGCTTTCATCGACATCTTCACCTCAAACACGTACGTGATGGTGGTCATGTCAGATCCGTCGATCCCTTCTGCGGCCACCCTGATCAACATTCGCAATGCCAGGAAACACTTTGAGAAGCTGGAGAGAGTGGATGGCCCCAAGCACAGTCTCCTCATGCGTTGAATAGTCCCAAATGCTCTTTCTGAAAATGCTGAGTTGCCTTTTTTGTTTGCATCCTTTATTTTTAATATTCATAATGTTGTGTGCTTAAAAGTGGGCTTTGAAGTGTGTGCTGCTTTCTCCTTTCATCTTTCTCCCCTGCTCTCCAGTCTTTAAACCTTGGACGCTACTTACTCAGCTACCCAGTAGAGCTTGAAGCTGGCTCTTCTGAGAAGATGGTATGGTGTAACACTAAAGTAGGTGGTTCGTGCGTGTTCTGATTACCTGGTTATAATAGATATGCACATCAAAGCCTTTGCCAGTATCTTCCTGTATTCCTTATCAGATTGCAAAGATGGAATGTTACTATTTTATCAGCAAGGTATTAAAATGCATTTATAAATTCTTCTTGGCTTCATTCATGAATAAACGTGTTAGCAATTTAAAACATGGTCTTATTTGAAATAACTTTAAAGTGCTTAATATGTAAATCTAAAGATTCTGACTGCCCACAAGTACTGATTAAGTGGCATATTTGATTTTGTGAGTTTAGCCCCCAGCACTTTAGCGATGTTTGGTAACAGCTGTAGAAGTACTTATGCTGTGTACTCAAGCTAGACTACCTGAGTCAGTATTCACTTACTAGCTCTCTGAACATGGGCGGAATACTTAATTTCACTACACTTGTATCCTTATTGTAAAATGTGGCTCAGAATACTGCTTCATAGCCACGCATGGTGGCTCATGCCTGTAATTCCGGCCCTTTGGGAAGCTGAGTTGGGATGATCACCTGAGACCAGGAGTTCAAGACCAGCCTGGCCAAGATAGTGAGACCCTGTCTCCACAAAAAAAAAAAAATTTTTTTTTTTTTTAATTAGCTGGGCATAGTGGTGCTTGCCTACAGTCCTAGCTACTTGGGAAGCTGAGGAAGGAGGATTGCTTGAGTCCAGGAGGGAGAGGCTGCATTGAGGCATAATTGTGTCACTGCCCTCCAGTTTGGTTGACAATGCAAGAGCCTATCTCAAAAACAACAAAAAACACTTGATAGGATTGTTAAAAGGATTAAATTCAACATGAAAAGTATTTAGGAATGGTGCCTAGGGCGTACTCACTCTATGTGTTAACTACCATTACCACCTACTGAGCCATTCTTCCCCAAATTACTGATGTGAAACTTATTTGACTATTTAATCCCTTACTAAATGTCAGGTGTTTTGCCAACACACTCAGCTAATTTTGTATTTTCAGTAGAGATGGGATTTCTCCATGTTGGTCAGGCTAGTTTCCAACCCCCGACCTCAGGTGATCTGCCCACCTCAGCCTCCCAAAGTGCTGGCATTACAGGTGTGAGCCACTGTGCCCGGCAATGTCAGGTGTTCTTAAGCACGTGTGCATTTATCTTACTGAATCCTCACAACCTATGTGGTAGGTTACTTTCTATTTTAACAGATAAGCAAACTGCTATGACCTTATTAAGGTCATACAGCTAAACCCAGGCAATCTGACTACTGACTCCTAATCATTACACCCCATTACTTCCACTGAAAAGTTAACCATAAGAGTCCTAGCTTTTTATTTATTTTGAGATGGAGTCTCCCTCTGTTGCCCAGGCTGGAGTGCAACGGCATGATCTAGGCTAACGACAACCTTTGCCTCCCAGGTTCAAGCCATTCTCTTGCCTCAGCCTCCCAAGTAGCTGGGACTACATGCCCAGCTAATTTTTGTATTTTTAGTAGACACGGGTTTCACCATGCTGGCCAGGCTGGTCTCAAACTACTGACCTCAAGTGATCTGCCTGCGCCGGCCTACCAAAGTGCTGGAATTACAGGTGTGAGCCACCTCACCTGGCCGTTTTGTTGTTGTTGTTCTTATAACTTGCATGCACAGACCAGCACTGGTGATGGGTCCCAGCTTTTTAGATATACATTATTCCTTCATATAATTCCAAATTTAGACACTGAGTAAGCCGAAGCCCAGGAAGCTAAGCAACCTCCCTAATGGAAGAGTTTCACTTATTTGGGGCAAGATCACTTTCCCATTTGTATTCATCTGGAAATTGGATAATACTGAACCAGATTCTTAGATAACCTACTTTTGAGGAAGGATTCTGAGGTTCCTAATTTGGATTGGCAATGTGGTGTAGTAAAATCGGAAAACATATCTGAAGTGTCCCATTCTAGTTCCAGCAATAGCTGCCTTATAGACGGAAAAGAAATCTAAGTACTTTAGAGCCAAGAGACCTGTGATCAACTCTAAGCCTCTCATTTTACACCCTAGGTGCTATCTTTGTTATAGGCAATAAATGTAAGTGATAGGGCTTTAGAATTTCTAAGGCTTTATAAAATTATTTAATATGTATTAAACCCTTTCTAGCAGCAGACGTGGATGACACCACTCACGAAGAGTAAGAAGCTATTCAGGTGTTAATTCATAAATATTACTTAATTAGGGTCATTGGCAGTAAATTAGTATAGAGACTCCAGATGAGAAAACTGATGCTATAGATATACTTTTAAAAATCATTTTAAAATACTATGTACAGTAAATCTAGTAATTAAAATGGCAATAACAAAATATGTTTACCTGAATCGCTGAACCTCTCAAGTGTATTTTGTAGATGAGGTTATTAATATACCTTTATATGTCATCATCCTACAGTTTGCAGGGACATAGTTCTTTTTGATATTATATAGGAAATTCCAGAGCCAGATAATATAAAAGATTTATTGAAAACAACAGTATTTAAAACATGTACTAAGAGTCCTATAGAGGATTCTCAAATATTTTAAACATAGGATGCAGACTTGCTATTCACAGTGCATAAGGAAAAAGCCACTTCTAGAGTAACTATGTATCTGCAACATAATACAAAAGAAACATTTACTTCAATACTTGTACATTGAGGAAAACGTCAAAGTATTCTAATTTTAGTACACTCAAGAGTAGCAAAATAATAGCTTTCAAGGCCGGGCGCGGTGGCTCAAGCCTGTAATCCCAGCACTTTGGGAGGCCGAGGCGGGTGGATCACGAGGTCAAGAGATCGAGACCATCCAGGTCAACATGGTGAAACCCCGTCTCTACTAAAGATACAAAAAATTAGCTGGGCATGGTGGCGCGTGCCTGTAATCCCAGCTACTCAGGAGGCTGAGGCAGGAGAATTGCCTGAACCCAGGAGGCGGAGGTTGCGGTGAGCCAAGATCGCGCCATTGCACTCCAGCCTGGGAAACAAGAGCAAAAAACCCTGCCTCAAAAAAATAATAATAATAATAATAATAGCTTTCATACAGGTATCCAGAATTCCCGTTTTTCCTTTAGATAAATTTGACTTCAAAGTCAAGAGACTTACAGTAAAGAAAAAATTTCAAAATACTTGTATTTTGTTTTCAGTTAAATTTCCCCCAAATGTTAACTTCAACTATTTTTTATTCTACTTGATAACATTTTTCATGTTTAGCAATATTATACACTTCCCTCTTTAAACATTTAAAATAACTAAAACATTTTAGCATTATCTCAGGTTTTCAAGCTGACGTAGAAGTCAGTTTATACACCTTTGTATCTTACAAATAGTGAATAAAACAAAATACATTCTATATAATGTCTAATGTTAATGTAATGAGAAATACACTTACAGCAATAACTTAGCCCTCTTTACCATTTATTCCATGATATAGGAGGCAAACAAAACAATTCCAATACTTAAATACTGCTAAAGATGACACATGGCCCTTGAGGTATATGTATGCGTGTGAATGCATACACCCGACACATTTACATAGGTGTATATGTATTTATGTATGCACTGCTATAACTAGAGAGACCGCATGCAACCATAAAAAAAATAATAAAAGTAGTGGAATATTAAATGAATAAAAAGACAAATCATAGAAGATTTCAGAGGAGGAGGAGGCACAGGGATATAAAAAGCATAGATTAAGACTTCAAGGTAAGGTGGAAGTCAGATTTGTTCTGAGACCTAAAACAGAGTTGTACTTGTGGTAAGCTCAGAGAGGAAGGCAAGGTATTCCTGCCCCAGGAGAATTGTAAATCAAAATTTCTAAAGACCCATGCTCACTGAAGCAGTTCAGTAAAAAAATGGGAGATTACAGTGGAAGGGGGAATAGACAAAATCCATTATAGGGATCTTACATGTCTTTAAATTTGAACTCGATTCTAGAATTAACAATGAACCATTAACGGAATTTAAAGCAAGGAAGTGACCCAATCAAAACAGTTCCTTAAGATCACAAGGCAACTATGCAGGAGATACTGCACAGGGAAAAGGCTGAAGGCAAAAAGCTGCAATCACAGTGGTTTAGGAGAAGAAAGTGATACATGTGAGATAATTTTTGTTTATGGTACTGGCACATGAAGAACAGGAAAGAATGTCAAAAACTTTCAGCCTATCACAGGTATAACACACTTAACATTTTTTTTTAAAACAAATCTAAAATGTCTACAGACATTCTGCTCTTTTGATTCTCAGTAATTAGGGGCTTCTCAGACTTGACTGGCGAAATTGAGCTTCCCTACTGATGGCTAACAATCTCTACCGAAGCATATATGCAACTATGTACCTGCTTCTTAAAAGTACCACAGGGTTAAATGTGAATCTCTATTTCCTAGCAGCAGTTCTCACTCTTTGTTGAGCTTAAGAATTACCACGGAAGCATATTTAAAATATAATTAAGTGAAATCATGCACATTAAGTGTCTAGCAATGGCCATCGCACTTCTGCAGATGCTGATAAGACAGCCTTACATGCTAAGATTTTCAGATCCTCAGTTTTCTTAAAGCAAACTAAAGAATAGTTTCCCCATAGACCTGCAGAGTCCCTGATTTGTTGTATTAATAAAAGACAGCAACTTGGCTCATGAAGCTTTTTCTTCCTCCTTTTCCATTACAAAGAAGGCAGTTACAAGTGCTTTCTTCTGTCTTTTCTCACAAAAAGATGAGTCTTCACACTGGGACGGGACAAACGACTTAGAGACAGGTAGCCCAAGATAAGTGAAGAAAGATGACTGTTAAGCCACATACTTCCATAAATTTCCCCTCCACCTTCTCTCCTTGCCAGTTCCTTGGGGGCTAGTGGACAAGATTTTGATGGTTGTGAGATGGGGTCTACGAAGGGCACTGTAGGTAAGATCACCCTTCCAGTGCCTGATCCATTCCTCCTGGTTTACAGAGGGCGACAGTATGTGTTCACTTAGATGCTAGACACAAGTCTTTCTCCGGGCAGGGCATCTGAAGGAATGAGGTAGGAGACTGTACCAGCGTGACAAGGTATTTAACTCCAAGTTCCGTTTTCTCAAGTTCTTGTGAGGCTATTCTGTAGGGACTGAGGAATTTTGATGATTGTTCCTTGTTCCTCTCCCCCAACAGGGGGTACCTCAAAAAAACCCAACAACAATAAAACGGACTAATGAAAATTTTAATTTATATTTTTTG